CTTTTAATTCGTCACTAGTCAACGTAGATTTTTTACAGTTAACTCGTGTACATTGTTTTGTCTAATCTGTCAACGGTTTAGTTTCAGCTAAAGATATTCTCTATTTATTGACAAATGTAGGATGAAAGTCTGATTAAGTTTAAATTGTTACCATAGATAGAATATCCACAAAGAAAATCGATGAATTTTTGTCCAGAATTTCTGAAATAGTCTTCTGTGGATTTGAAAACTTGTAGTTTACAAATACAAACTATTTTCTTTGATTCCGATTTTCCTTCTCGAAACATAAAGGTAATGGTTTGGGCGAAAATTAAATGATTAATTGATTTTAATTAATACTAATTTTAACTATTCTGATCGAGTAAAGTTCCATTTCTAAGCTAAACAGAGAACCGAAAAAGTCAAGTAACATCTCATTCAATAGAAAATTTCAAGCTCTACAAGACGGCCTACTATCCATGTTTAATTATTCATCTTTGAAGGCTGAAGTAGCCGGTTTTTTTTCAGTAGGAAACCATTCAATTCAAAACGTCCTGCTAAATCTAAGCCTGTAGCATCCAAACGGAACAGAAAAGCAAGTTCTTTCGAAACCATTGAGAACTGACGGTAATACAGAATATGGTGCTAGAACACACTGGAAACGTCCGTTTAATGTCTTGTTTTGTGCTTTTGAGCAGTAATAAGTTCAGTATTTTGTCTATTTTTCTAAAACTAAATACTATGTTGAAGCTTTTAATCAGTCCGAAAAAGTAAGAAGTAGCCGGTCTTGTAGTCCATGAAATTGAACCAGATAAGATGCTACTTGAATTTTCCTCGTTAAGTCGGTACCGTACAAAAATCAAGACTTCAAGTTTTCACTGCTTTTTTAGTCGAAAAGCGAGTTGTTCGAAGAAGCCTTACGGCTGATTTGACTCAAACAATAAAATATGGATTTTATCTTAGGTTAGTTCAAACTAAGACTTCAACTAGTTACGTAGAAGAACTGTACACGAGTTGTCTTAAAATTTGAGTCGACAAATAAGGAAAATAATAACTGTGAACCAGTTAGAAAAAAATTGATGAGTTGACGGGTTAGGAGTAAATTCTTTTGTACATCTACATCGTACAAAAAAATCTCAAAATTTCATGATTACATGTTGAGACCAAACTGTTTGTTTTGTTATAGATTTGGTCATGGTGCGCAAAATTAATTATTGATCTTGTATTATTTATAATGCCTCATATAACCTCAATAAATGATCTACCATCAACGACACTTAATCATTTGAAAGTACATATTATTTTCGTTTAGCTGAATAAAAGACAGACTCTGTTTTGGATGTTTTAGGATATATTTCGATCGTTGATACTTCTGGCTCGTCAAAATATTCATTTTTTAAAATCATTTCAAGATGAACTTTATTCTAAAGCAATTGCCAATAGAGTCGATCTTATTCATGAATATCTCAAAGAAGTATTACAAAAATTAATTGATAGTAATGATGATATTGATTTATTATTAATGCATGATACACCAGTTGCTACTATCGACAAGCAATAGCAAAAGATTATTGAACCTGTTTGCTAAAATGATAAGTGGACGAACATTACTCTTATTCGTACATTCTTTCCCATTAAAATGTCTTATTTTAATGAGAATAAGAAAATGTAAGAAGAAGATGATACTTATTTTCATCATAAAACCAATAATAGTAAACCTTAAGGCAATTTTGATTAAAATAAGAGAGAGAGAGAGAGAGCGCAAGAAGATTCTTTTTCATTCCTTTTCTCATCATCCCATATAGTTACTCGCTATTTATTTATCAATTCTCACCATCAACGCCGTAATAGCTGTATTAGTCTCCTCTTATTTATGCGATTTTACCTTTTTCGGTATGTCATTTAAATTCTTGTCACCTAAACACTTGTGTACTTATTAATGATCTTTACACCTCTTAAGAGGTGTAAAGATCATTAATAAGTACACAAGATAATCAAATAATTAACTGAATTCAGTTAATTATTTGATTATCTCAGATGATATGAGGACGTTAACTTGTTAAAACATATCTTAAAAATACTATAGACTATAGACATATTAAAAATGATGAATTTACATATTAATTTCTAAGTATTTTTTTGTCTCTCATAATGAAATTTCCATTTGCCATTTATCATTGGCTTCTCTCTTTGAAGATGTTAACATACATTATCCTGTTTCATCAATAGTAAAGTTTTTTCTCTCACTGTCTAAACTAAGAGAAATAACGAACAGATAAATTTTGATTGTTATTAGATGCATAATAATTATGCATATGAACTATTTTATTCTGGAGTAAACGAACAGAGTATTGATACAGATGTAAATTAACAATTTAATTTTTCGATTATTTTAATTTTTTGTTAATTTTATGTTTGTTAAATGAAGATTTTTGATGAAAAACATCACGTGCATTCTTTTAATATAGAAATTTTAAGGGACGAGAAAATAAGCGATCTCGGATAATTAGCAGAATGGATCTCGTAGATAAAAACAAGACAGAAAAGATATTTAAATTTATCCGTTTCTGCATAAAAGATCTTGCAATACAAAAGAGAAAAGATTGTATGAATGATGATCGGGGATGAAAGCATGTGTCATGACCACGTTATGATCTCGTTATTACAGTTATATTATACAGTAAGTATCTTCGTTGACTTTATTGTACCATGTAGCTATTTTTTTCTCACAATGTAAATACAAATGGTGTTGAAAAAGGTTTTGCTAAATGCTGTAGTGATCGAGGAAAGATAGAGTAACAACGATAGAATAGGGAAGAGACTCTTTTTCCGAGACTTTTTATGCAGGAATAGACAAATTTATTTTTCTGAGATCTTTTCTGCCACCTTGTATACGATATCCATTCTGCTAATTTTCCAAGATCTTTTCTGATATTATCCCATTTTGAGTAAAGTTACATCGATGAGACAAGCTCAACACTTAGATGTGACATTTACTATATGAGAAAATTATAATGTGTAATAGAATAGATTAATTATCGAACGTAGTTCCTAAATGACATCATTGACAGAGCCACGCTGGCTGACAGCAACATTTACACCTTATAATCGACAAAAGTTTGAAGGAACCATAGTTCTACTTAGTACTGTTCAAAGTTTTGATAGACAACAACATACCCGATAAGAATTGTTCTCTTCACTTTCAGACCTATAGGAAAGATAACTTTTGTTTAGTGAGTAAGAAAAAATAAGCTACAATGAGTGACACACGATACAAACGGTATCTCATTCAAATGAATTAGAATCAATAGAGAAAAAGGTGATTGATATAAACATCGTTTTTTCAAACAACACTTTTCAGTCAAGTTAAAATCATTTCTACAACCAACATAGCATGAAAAATAGCACACGACAATGGCTTAATGATGTTATCTTGAATTTATTTTGTAAATATATTTGCTCATACACAACAAATTATATAATAGACACTACAAACACATTAATATATTTCATATTTAACATAAACAAAATTAGCCTTACAAAATGATCATTTTATACTTGTTGTTATTGGTTTTTTTGTCACAATAATGGTGATAAAAGTATGTTTGACTTTAGAAATTAATGAAGCATGTAAAAAAGAGGTTATAATTTAATAATACACAAAGTAAATTAATCAATAAATTTTCATTTTTGAAAGACATCATATCGATGAGGTTCTTCTAATGTTTCATAATAGTCAACATTGTTGACTATTATGAAACATATCAAAATTATAATAGATCAATGGACAAATTTTGTTGAATCTATCTGTCATCTAAATTATCTTCTTACAATAATTCAAATAAACTTTTATTTGTTATTAATCCTTCACCATTAATATTACAAAAAAGAAAATGGACATATCGTTTTGTGTCTTTGATGTTTGTCGACAAGTTTTTGACGGTAAATAGAACATTATCTTCAATAAAATTTATCAATATCAATTTGTCTGCTATAATTATTGTCTAATATTTCAAAAATATATTTTAATAATAAATTATTTTTAATTTGGATAATGCGATAAAATCTTGTAACGTCAATTTTGTCATATTATGTTCATCTAATTTATAGAAATTAAGCAATCATTTTTATGGAGTTTAGTAACAACGTTCAATTCTATTACGGAATCATCAGATTTGCATTAAAGAAATCATTGAAAGTTAGACCATCAATTTGACAATCAAATAGAGATGAATTTTTCGTTAATATTCAGTTATTTTTAATTCAAAATTCTATTTTATTGCTCATAGTATGTCACAAATCTTCATTGACTATTCTTGAATTTATACATTAGAAAATAATTGTATTCGGTCTATTATTATTAGATGTGTAGAGTTTACTGATAAGTATTTATTTTCATCGTTTGATTGATGATCATCATCGCTAACCACAATATTTATGAATATTATTTTAATCGAGTTTCGTTCAATCAAATATAAAATAAAGGCGTAGTCTAACTTGTCATCGTCAAGTTTAGATGATATGTGCCTTGTAATTTAGTAACAACTAGTTATCCATTGATAACAAACGAAATTAACTGAAGAAGCCGCATCGTTCATATGGCATTTTATATCGTCAAATTTGTCAACTAATGATGAACAGAAGATATGATAAAATTAAAAAAAATGATTGAAGATTCTTCTTCTTATTATTATTGTCCTTATAATTTTTCTCTTTTCATGTTTTTTTGTTAGTAATCTATTTGTTCTACGAGTGATATACATGACTGAGACCGCCTTCTGAATAATTGACTATGTATACTATATCCATTTCGCCAATAGACAAACTTTTAAATCAAACAAGCTCTTTTATGACGTATTTATCTTGAGAGAATCTTTTTGTAGTTTTCGTGGTATAATTAACACGTAAAGTTTTACAAATCGTAATCTAAACCGATGCGTATGTCTACAAGTTGACTAGTTTATCAGGAATTCTTTCCAAAATTTTTAGCGGACACAAATAAGCAGTATATATATCTTCTTGTTGATCTGATGTATTAAGTAACTAATTGTGTCATTCGAGTAAAATGTGTCGGTATTTCTTAATATAGAAAAATGTGATGAGTTTATTCCAGATGATACTTCTATCTGAGCACAAAGTTGTTAATCTCTCGTTTCATCAGTGAATAACAGAAGAAAAATAAAATAGAAAAATATGCGAACTAACTCTGATTATTTCGCTCTACATTGATCTTCGTATTTGATAATAGATGTATCTACATAAACGAGAAAAACAATCATACTAACACAGTCTTTTAAGAGCTGATTTGTCAGTATTATAGGGAAGAGGTTGGTTCGGGCTCATTTACGATCAATAATGAGTTTTCCATACGAATGAACTCGTTTCTCTTATGCAAGTATAAGAAGTAGATTATTCTTCAATTATAGAGATAAATCATAGACATATTCCAAAATAATTAGGTGACTAAATTAACCTATGAAAATGTGTTAAATAGACATACCAATTATTCTGCCTGATGATTCGGTCTAAACTACTGACAATGATTAATTTATACAACAAATTCTTTTAGGTGGAAGAAGAAAAATTCCATTTACTCGTATCTCAATTAAAACGAAACTTAATATCACAGATGAAACAAACACTAAAAAGATTTCAAATTTATAACTGTATTAGAGAACTTTTTGTATGTAAATTCTTAAAATACAAAATTTAAAGAAATTATGATTGCTCTTTGTTAACTTTTTGAAATTAGTCTCTCCAACTTATTTTTTAAATAATTTATATTTTTGTCCTTGAATACTCAATTAGCTCCTGTGAAGAAACTTCATATAGACAGTATGTTACCTGTCAGCTGTGGTTTTTACAAGTAATAAGAAGGAAGGATTTGATTCTGGAGCGACAGCCTAGAAAATGGCTATCAGCTTCAAGATACTCATACAAATGATCTACTCTTAAAATGAGGCGATAGAGATTTAGGATCTAAATCTAATTTACAACCTACTTTTAGCTGATAATTAATGTCATGCTACTAATTCGTAAACAGAATTTAGATAATATCAAACAGAAGTATTTTTTGAAATGAATTAATTATTATTGTATTTTTCCAACAGTTAATGTATTTTGACAACATATTTCTATGTATAATCCTTTGATCGCATAATAAGAATAATTGATAATGATAAGTAACATACAGAGAGAGTTGTTAATTGGATGGATTATCGTCTATTGTAACATATTGACATGTATCTCTCTATCTAAACAAATGATGGTGATTGGTTATTGAAACGATACGAGAATAGAGAGAAGAAAAACATTTTCTCACTGGTTACATATATAGACACGATTATATTACAATCATTGTTGTCGTAAAGAGAAGAAGAAGAAAAAAAATCATGATTCGTCGATTTTCATACTATCACTTACTCTAGTTTCTCTCGTCGGCAATAACCATGAAAAAAGAGTAATTTGTATCAAAAAGAAGAGAAAAGTGAAAAAGAAAGAAAACAAACAGAATACTTTATTATACATACTCTAATCTAATTGTTATTAACTATTGATAGTCAATCGTATTATTATTAACACTGTATACACGATGTTATTCTATTCTTTTTAAAAATGGGTGCTATTGATTATGAATCTCGTTGCTCTCCAAATTATGATGACGGTAATTCAATTTCACAATCATCTGAACACTCATCAACATCACATTCCTCTAAATTACGAACAACATCATCATCTATTTCGTCAATAAATTCTTTATCGTCAGTAACACGTCTAAAAGCGACAAAATCATTTTTAATATCAGACATATTGAGTCCAAATTTTGGTCCCAGTGAACATTGTCATAAATCCTTTAATCCAAGAACAATCACATCATCAACACCACATCCAATATCAAATAAAACTTCTAATACAAATCAAAAAACATCGTCAAAATTTTCTTCATCATCCACGTCGCCGTCAGCAGCCAATTTATGGCCAGCATGGGTCTACTGTACAAGATACTCTGATCGTCCATCGGCTGGCAAGTGTATTTATCTACATTTTTTTTCGTCAAAGTTCTAATTTGTATTAACATCTATTTAAGTAGACTATTTTTATTTTAGAAAATTTGGGAAATAGTCAGAACTATCCGTCGAATTTTTTTCTACAAGATTTTAAAAAATCTTTTTACTTTTAAACCGTTTTTTCTCTCCCTAGTATATACAAATCTCTCGTATTTGTTCTTTTAAACCTTCTGGTTGTTTGTAGTGTAACCAGAAAATCTTAATCATCACAGAGGCAAAAAGAAAATCGAACGTAAGAGTATAATGATATTATGATAAGTTTCTTTCTCTACGAAAACATGAGAGACATAAATAAAGTCAAACTGATCTGTTTTCTAAAATAATATTTTCTTCGAAAACTCTGCATAAAAAACGAATAATAATCTAAAGCAACGAGAGTAAATTTGAGAAGGCTGTCGGTGTGTATAATTTCTCAAAGCTCTACTCCTTTCTCGATACTGACAAGTTCGCATGACTAACTAAGAAAATATAACGAATTTGAAATAGATAAATATAGTTGTAAAGAAACAAAGATGCTAGATGATAATAGCCATCTTTATCAGAATATCTGACGTAATTCTTTTCTTCTTTATTTTAATTAGGTCCTCGTGCTCGAAAACCAAAACCAAATGAATCACTTGACTCGAAACGTCCTCGAACGGCTTTCACTAGCTCACAATTATGTCGTTTAAAAGATGAATTTGAACGTAGTAAATATTTAACGGGTGAACGACGTCAAATATTGGCAAATGAATTAAACTTGAATGAATCACAAATAAAAATATGGTTTCAAAATAAACGAGCAAAAATTAAAAAGACAAGTGGTGTACGTAATACATTGGCTATGCAATTAATGGCTCAAGGACTCTATAATCATGCAGCATCATTATCACATAAAAATTGTGATGATTTGGATGATGATGTAGATCTTGATGATTGCTAAGTAAATTCATATCATTTCGTACGTAAACACGTATTTTAATCTAGTCACAATAGTTGAAAGGGCAGACACTTGAAAAAGGCAATTACAATAGCAATAAACTATTTCAATTATATGAAAGTCCGATTTTTCTCTACAGTAGTAAATATTCGGATTTTTTGTACAAAGTTTTCTTTCCTCTGTTTATTTTTATGTCTAGTCGATCTCGTTTTATCTATATATTTTACTTTTCTTAATCAGTTGAACAAAATAAAAAAGTATGTTTTCAGTATTTATGACTGACAGTTAGTTTAAATATTGTTATTGGATAACATTTAATTAGTAGTCATCATTCACTGAAATATCATAAAAGAAAATGCGATGATTTTCTAATTAATTAATATCTAAAGTATTGAATTATTATTATAATTAAAATAATCAAGTGTGCATAACATGTGTTGGTACATTAGTCATCGAATAATTTTTTATTATTATCATGGACAGATGAGAAAAGAAATTATTTTTTGTGTTAACAACAACTGTTTTCCTTCTTGAAATTGTTATTTAAGTAAGTTATCGTATGTAATAATAGAAAAAAAGATTATTATACCTATTCTCTCATGTTTGAAGTTGATAGTATTTTACTTCTATAGACAATGATGATTTGCACAAATTTAGATAACATCTGTTTTACCAGTTATTTTGTGTTATGACGAGCACTCGGCAGTTTTCTTGTTGACACTACAGAAAAAGAGTAATCATGTTGATAATGCTTGAAGAAAATACTTAATTAATAACTTTTGATTAGATTTCGTAACATTTTTGGTATTGTTGTTGAAAAAATGTCGACAATAATTTAGAACAATAAAACTATGTATTAGTTATGCGAAGAGAGTAAGAATTAAGGCCAATTGATACTAGGAAAAAGTCTAAAAACCAAATGAATTAGTTAACAAAAAACAATCTTTTTTGATTTAATAAATATTTCTCAAGAGAGAATTATCGGAAAAGTATAACTTTTGTATATTACCGACATTTTTTTTTAATGTTCTTCTCACATATTATTTGTATAAACGCAAGACGAGATTTGATCAATTAAACTAACACCTGTGTGTAGAATGAGGGATAAGATTATTTATGAATATAGACTTTTTTCAGTTTATAAACTTTTAATCATAACGTATGCAAATGTGAGACAAATACCGATAATACGAAATTAATGGTAACAATTGGTTAAGTTTCAATCTTTGAACAGGCAAAAAGTTAGTTCGAAAGTAGTTTTAAATTTCCCATGGGTAATACGTATGACAGTCTATGAGAAAATATATTTGACCATCAGTTATCGATAGAGACGAGAAAAAGAAACTTGTGTTTATCGAATTAACAGAGTGAATGAAAAAACAAAAAGTATTTTGATTTGAAGAAACGGTTGTTTAAAGAAGTTAAACGGTACAGAAATGTTATTTCCATTAACTGTTTGATCAAACACAGTGCCGACTGTTAAGTATCGATACAGTAAATTAAAAATAATAATGATTGATTATCAACTATCTGTTGTTGTTACTGATCTTCAATTGATTTTCTTCCTCGTGCATGTATAGTTGATCTAATTAAATGATAACAGTATTCAAAACTTTTTACTCTATTATGGATATTAATCGAGCTTAACTATAACTGACGTACAGAGTTCTATTACGGTGAACAGCGGCGTCTATCCCCACCTGAATATTTAAGGCATTTTGTACCACCTCGGAGATTCGATCTCTCAGTATACTATCTGAAAAATAAATTTCTACAGCAAAAAAGCGTCCCACCTTACTTTTGTTTGAAGCATTACGCCTCAAACGTCGCACAGGATAGACGCCCCTGACGCTGAATTGTAACTATCAGCTATTTGCTTTAATCAGAACAGTACATGATAATTGGAACTTAAATTTAACCATTACTCGGCCTCGATCCTGTTCATAGGGGCACAGTGGGCAATGCTTTAGACATTTAGCCTAGAAACGACAGCGTATGTTTTTTATCTCAAACAGTGGGTAATAACCTTCGAACCATGCGCAATTTTTTCCTCACAAAATTTTTTTGTTTTAGTCTTATAGAACCAGGAAAACTCACATATGCAAAATAGCCTCGAAATCATATCAATATCACATTTTTTTTCTCCGAGTTAAATGTTTGTTTGACTTAAGAGAAGTTTTGTGCATAAATTGTGGATCATTTTCGAGTATTTGAAAAAAAATTTATGTTTGAACCTAAGACAGGCGAAAAAATTGATGTTTTCCGTAGCAACAAAACTTCCCCAAACGTGCCTTCAGTATAGTAAGTTTGCACCTTTTTTTCATTCTTCCGCCACTGCTCAAACTTTCCACAAATCTTTTCCTACCGGTAGTACATCTACACTTTTAGCGCAAAACCGCACAAATGCTTCCAGATTTGTATGTGTGTGTGTTTTTTCGACGATAAGCTAGTGTCACGTTTTGTGTTAATTTTTCGCGCAAATGACAGGACACAACTGCAAAATTGTCTTTTGAGCTTTTTTTGTTGTATCAGCAATGCTGTGATGTGAAATGCTGATTCAGCATTTCACATCATATTTTCTTTAGAAGCCTAGTAGTCAATTGCGTTTTACAGTCCAAAAATACTTTACCGCACAAATAATAAGAACTAAGAGCCTTACCAGGTGTGTGACTATTTTAGGTAGTACGGTATACTTAGCTCACAATCCAACAGAAGTTATAGTGACTGATCAATATTCATCGGGAGCTGTTATGTGACTAGTGTATAGTGTAGCCGACTGTGTCGAAGTACTGCTAGACATTTCCGCATTGTCGATCGAAGATATCAGTAAAGGATACAGATGGAACATATTGACAGCACAAGATACAGGGAAGATACAGTGATTGTATGTAATATCGTAATGTCGGATTGAAAGATTGTCTGATAGACTATCAGACAATCTTTCAATCCGACATTACGAAGTGTAACTATCAGTGATAGTACACTCAGGAAGTAGCTGAATTGAGTGAGGTTGAGACTATAGCATGAAAAAGTAAATGATTTTTTGAACAGCGCGCAGAAGACAACTCACTGCATCTACTTTACTTCCTGCCTTATTCCTGATGTGTGAAGAAATCCTTATTTAGGGCCAAGAATTTATCAGGTCCGAAATCAAACTTTGACTACAGCGAAAACTACTGCAAAAGTTTGGTAAATTTGAGTTGGATGCATCTCTATATATGGTGATAAAGACAGAAATATGGACGCTCTGTCGTAGTTTAATCTAAATTATATAATCCGATAGACAAAAAACAATTGAAATTTCTGCCACTATTACAGTCTTGTAAATTACTCGACAATTAAAAACATTTTCTCACGTAGATAAAAAGTCATCAAAATGTTCTCTCCCGTTATCATTTTTGAATGTGAATTGATGAACACAGTGAAGAGTTTTTAACTCGATATCATAGATCAATCAGTATCAAATTTTGTTATCATTGTTGTTAGACTAGTTAGTTAGTTAGTCAGTCAAATGATAGATTTATTATAGAGTATCAATATATACATAGTTTCGTTTCATTTATGATTGAAATCAGTACATTCGTTTATTTCAATCATTTATTACCATCTCATACACGTTCTCTCCCAATCGTCTCACACACACACATAAATTCTTATAGATGTACGTGACTTATCGAAAATAGAAATAAATCTCCGAAGATACTTAGTTCCGCAGGCAAACACGCATATCGTACAATGAAATTAATGTGTATCCACAAACGTGTCAATACAGTTACATTCACAACTAATGGTGCTGATAATTATTATATTTCTTTCGATAAATACATTTGGGATTATTATTTTACTCTGATCAAATTCGACCAGTAATAGAGAGGGAAATAAAATACGTTCTATCAGAAAATAACCGCTAGTGAATGCATGACAATTTTCTGAATAGCAGAACGTCTTCTTATTCTTTATGTTTCTATGTGAACCAAAGCATACACTATCGTTTTTTCTTTTTCAAATTTCTCATATCTCGTCTAGGTGTGATTACTTACTATTAAGTGTTTTAACTGTATGATTAGTTTATGTAATAGTCATCGGGTAGGCGTGATGAAAACTTCGCCTGACAATCAGTATGTGCCGATGTAAACAGCGGTAGCTGTGCAATATGTGCAATAAGTATCATACTCTCATTTTTACCCTGTTAACCCTTATTGTTTCTCGATCTTTTTGACTATAATACAAATGTATCAGGTATCTCTCGTGTTTCCATTTATATCGGTGTCTCTTGCTGAATTTTAATGATATAACAGGAAAAGGAAAGGATTTAGATTGTTGAAAGTCAAGGCATACTAAACAAAACAAATTGATTCGTCAAATGACACAGCATTGGGGATAACAAGATCTGTCCTTTATCCATTTATTCACTAACCAACAAATGTGCATAAGAATTCGAAACGAAAAGTAAATAAATTGGGTAAATTCATTTTGGAGAGAACAGCATTTAAATTATCTCTAGAAGATCATGATATTACTACTTTATTTTTTTGAGAAACCACTGGTTTTCTTTATAAATTTCTAAATCGTACTTTCAGAGAAGATTTTGGAATTCGTTTTGCTACTGGAAAAAACATCTTCAAAGGTCCTCTTAGCTTCTACTTAAGTACTAGGAACTTATAGATATAAGAATATGTCAATATACTATAGTTAATCACTATGGCATCTATCTTTGACAACGAAATAACTAACGTACTAATAAATAAATAACATAGAACAGCAATACAATACGACAAAATTTGAAGGTCAGCCTCAGCTAATTGATCTGATCAATCATTTAAGAAAACGATATGAATTTATTAGCGATGATACGAGTGAATAGAGAATAGAATCCTAATAAAATCCTAGATAAATTCTATCAAATCCTAGAACTTTCCAGTCACCCGGATTCAAATAGGATCCTACTAAGATCCTGGTCGGATTGTCTAGGATTTTGACTAGGGATGATTCTATTAAAAAAC